GTCGATCGCCCGGATTGACAATAATCTGCTCGGTATAATCCGAACAGGAGACCAATTGCACGGCTAACAGCATGACATGGAGCTCTTGCATGGCAATCCTGTACAGTGGAACAAAGAGGAATGTGCATGTGCGGATGTAGATCAGTGCCGATTTGACAGGAATTCAACGTGTGTGCGTACCGTTAATAGGATAATCATAACTGCAAAGCATGATGATAATTCGACGGCTTTGAGTTCCAGCACGCGTTCCTTTCAATTCGGTTGATGCTTCCTGCTTCCTTGATGCTTTCAAAGTAAGTGATGAGTGGACTCCCTCACAGACAATTCCTCGAGGTCTGGCACTCTTCAATCAACTCAATAAACATGCACATCGAACTGGATCACTTGTATACGCCAATGCAACTCAAGGACCAAATGATGCAACAAAGGTCACGCCGTGACCAGAGAACGGACGGAAACCGCAATCAGGACGAAAGGACAACCTCCTCCCCTCCCACCCCCACCCGCTCGCAACAGTTCCACGGCGGACCGAGTCGAACACAGTGAGAACAGGGAACGAAAATGGTCGGTGGAGAAGATCGCATATAAAAACGAACGGTTACAGACAGAACACGGCCACTTCACAAGCACTGATGATGTCACCTCGGCTGGTGATGAAATGTTTGCAAACAAATTGCCAAGCTCGTCGAACAGGCGGAATGGAAAAGGAATCCGTTTGGTGAAGGCACGCCTGCTGTACGGTCGAAGTTCACCGGGCCTGTCTAAGACACGCGGCTGTGAAACAAGGTGTGGTTTCTCGCTCGGGTTAGCTGGGCAAGCACCATCCGACCGATCGATAAATGAACCCGATCGGTCGTGTGATCTTCGGGCCGGTATAGGCGGCGGAAAAGCACTGACTGCGATGTTGCTTAAGTGTTGGTAGAGCATCACCACAGGGAAATCAGTTATGGAACGATGCACCATGTGGGGAATTCGGAATGGAAAAGTTCAAGCTTTGATGACACGGGCCAACGTTTGACTTGTCTAAGCTACATGTGCTATTGTTTTAAGCCCGTTCGGTAAACCGATAATCATAATAATAAAAGTTGTTTTATGTACGCACTACAATATTCACTAATATAGGCAAACGCAAAATTCTTCTTGGAGTTTTACTAACTGGCTTTTTCGCATTGAACGATCTTGCTAACTACGAATGAGATAGAACTCCGAAAGAAAGAAAGAACAAATATAATGGAAAAATGCATATTTATTTTATAAAAGTTGTTCAATACGTTTTCCATTTTGCTAATTGCATAGCAAAATATAGCGAAGATAATTTTCTTTCAACTTCAGAATGGTAGTAATTGTAATACTTTCGCACCGTGCAACGATACTCGGCTTAATCTCCTCGATCGTTTTCGATTTTCGGGAATAAGCGGTTTGCTTCAGATATCTGCATCTACCCACGACCGATCATTCAACCGGATCTCCAAGTGCCCGGTCACAAACTACTCATATCTTGATCTATTTATTCTTACAATACATTCATGAGATCGTTTACCCGGTGTTGTCGCCCCAGATGAAAACCGCCAACCTCTTCATTGCGCTAGACCCAGATCGACCACATCGTCATCAGTTACTGCTGGAAACGATGGACCAATCGCACTATCGTACTATCTACATAGCAACATGACATCTTAAATTGATAATCGGACATATTAAATCGAAAAACGTATGGACTTTTGGTTTATCTCCGCTCCTCATACACCATTTTGGGGAAACTGGATGGCCATTGAATGAAAATCCGAAATCCGAATTTTGTTCCAATTACATTTTATTTTAACGGAAACAAACAAAAGAAGCCCTGATGAAGGTGGCAAAAGTATTACACCCCCCCTACAGACCTCGCACATCCTACTCCATAATGAAAACGGTTGCACTAGAAATTTCTCATTCGTACTACGGCATTGCAACTGGGAACCGTATTGAGTCGGTGTTCGACAGACTGGTGGGTGCTACCATCTGATACTGTTGATAGTGACCATATATGCTCACACACTCTCGATGACCTTGGAGGAGCGAAGGCAAATACAAGTAACTACAAGTCATTGTAAACTATGGTGCGTTGGAAGAGACTTATTGATAAAGATAAAACCAGAATCGCTGCTTTTCGCGAAGTCAATGTCAGCACACAAGATAGCCCGATGGTGTAGTAGGCTCCGATCCACTATGACACGATATGTGAAGCGGAAGGAGCTAAAAGTCAGTCACAAATAAGCCGGACATCAGAAAACTCTGTTGGAGAAAGGTAAGAGCAAATCACTACGTATGGGCTTCAACTCCGTGAGTAATGCATCGATGGAAGCGGTGCTTCAGTTGAACCTTACGGGGCGAACGATATGGTAAATACTCAAAATGGTCCCTTGGACGAAATACAATAAAATGAGAAGGAGCATAGTTCTAACAACCTCATAACAAGAAAAAACATTGATTATGGATTGAAACGCGTTTAGCTTGGAAAAGCGAATGATATTTTACGCACGCCTGAGGTAAGCCATCACGTATTTAGTATTGATTTGGTGGAAAATTCATCATCACTTCGAATTCGGATCAGTAGGCTTCAGTGGTTAGGACACTTATTGCCCATACCCGGCTATCGTCTACCACATCGCGCCCTATTCAATGTGGCCGTTCCGGGTTGAAGGAAACCACCTGGAGATCGACAGATAACGTGAAACCGAGGCATGAAGAAATGCACAGAGTGATTAGATGAAGTAGGTGTCTTCCGTTTTCCATGTTGGGGTTCAAAATACATGGTAACTGATTGATTGAAGACACTGAAGGATATGAAAACTGACCGACAGCAGTGGCGTGCTTGTTGTCATTTCTTATCTGGTCAGAATACTTAAAATGTACCTATGCATAGTCAGATTTTGCACTCTGTCTAGTAACTATAGAGGTTCACTTTCCTTGCCGCTCCCCAATAAGACCCAAACCCTATCCATCTTGTACTTTCTCACTTACTTTCTTTATATTGAGAGCTTGGCGGCAACCAGCTAAGTTGATTTCTCTGTATCTCGCTGTAAGATGATAAGATGATAATTTTACCCACTTTAGCGCGAAACTACTACTGCTATGATCTTTAGACAGAAGAGTGGGACTTCAAAAAGTGGATTAACGATCGAAACTCCGTGATAATGTGGGGTACCTTAACAAGTAATGATCCAACCCCACAATCAGTCCTGTCATCTTTCGTTCATCAATGCGTTATATCAATTCTACTTTATTGCTCTCCTGTAGTGATTTATTAATCACAGATCTGATTGATAGTCACATCAACTCTTGTTTTAAATTTGCTCACAAGATTCTAGATGACGCTCTTCATCCACTACACCCTGATCTATCGTCTTGCCGTTCCCCATTCGTCCACCACGCTCCTCATTTCGACAGCTACCTCTCACATTAACATTTATAAAAATTCCCCTGTACCCTACCTGGCCCGACTACTCACCAAAAAGGAACAGGTCTCAAATGAACTAAGTCAAATGCTTTGTACATGATACGTATATCACCGACCTTCTTTACCTTTTGTTTTGACTATTTTTATTTCATTCTGCGTGACGAACAATGTACATTTGTAACTGAAATGTAAGCATATATGCTTACAGAAGTTACAAAAACAATACAATACAATTCAACCAAACTTGTCGAGTGAGAGTTGTGGAAGATTTCATTCACTTGCATAGTGGATTGTGAGCTGTGATTACTGCCACGAGCTTGCAAAGATGGGGTTGTTTTATATCGTGTTAAGGCAGGATGAAGAAACGGGTTGATCCGGTGGCCCGTTGGATAGCATAACTACGTTCTACGTGTGAGGTCTCGGGCTCGATCCCCAGTTGGGTCGATGGATTCGCGCACTGCTGATGAGACCCATCCAAGTCGGAACAGTTGTCCAGAGTGCTTCCAGGATTTCCTCAGTTCACGTTCTGTTTGCTTTGTTCACGAACTTGTTGTGCCATGTGGGGTGCAAGATCTTGATGTTTACATTTGTGGCGGCATTGTACCGGCACTTTATACCAGCAATTACATCAAATATCTCATTCTAAAGCCATTTTTCGGCTTGTGATAACGCCCTAGTTCATAATTGTTATCTAACAGAATGTAAATTTTACTTTGTGGAATCAAAGCAGTTGTGCGGTGTGCATACAGATCGGATTTGACCGCAGTAAAAAAATAACTGGGCTCTTCTTACCCGAAAGATGAATCATCGGTTCATAGTTTTACAACATAAAGCACAACTTAAAGGCATTTATGGTCAGGATGTGATTATATATATTATACAGATTATTGAAGTGGCCCCAACGCCTTCAATTCATGGGGGGATACTTTTGTTGCGGTGAAAATTTTGTGGTTATTTCGGATTTCCTTTCAGTTGCCGTTTAGATTCCCAAAATTGGTGATTATAATGCATGTGGGATTGAGTTTAATCCAAAATTCTAGGAATGGGTTTGCGATACTTCTGTCGGGGGCATCGTAAAATTAGGGCACAAGCCGAGTGATTCACAATCCGGCCTTCACAGACTATACAAAGGCCCGCTCTGTAAGTGGGGACACATTTTCACGCTCCATCGGAAGGTTTTTCGGTATGAGGTGAGGGTAGGGTAGGGATTGGATAGTGTACTAGATGACTGTGTTTAGATGAACTCGACTGTGATTGCAATGGTGGTGATATTGATGATCAGTTTTGGGCCAGGTCAAATAGAGAACTTGAAACAGTCGCTTTTCCTGCGCATAGTTTGTGCGCCAAAAGGTGAATACTTATCGCCCCAACGGTGTCTAGTGTTTGTGTAAGCGTACTGATTGAGTGGTGTGGGGAGGGGTACATAACGGCCTTGATCCACTAGATGACCAATGTGCCCTGTACCTCCCGGTCTTAACCAACGTGATCAGCGTTCTTTCATCCCTGTTAGGATAGTTGCCTGATCGTACGTTGCATTGTAAACGCACCTGAATGAGAATGGATATTATCATTTTGGTCCATAAAGCGCGTCGGAGAACTGTTTTCCCCATTAATGAGACTAGCTAACAAAACATATTTTACACCCAATACACACGAATGTCAGACAATGCTTTCTTTGAAAAAATTGAATGGACTCAACAACAGCAGCAACAACAAAAACAACAAAAACAAAATCAACGCGTTCCGAATTGCAAAACAATTGGGTCAAAGGACTGACCGTCGATCATGTGGTTCTGGGAGTAAGAATTTCAACCTCTGACCCAATAGTCTGTTGCTCAAGTTGTTGCAGGACGCAAAATACACCGTGGTGATTAGTATCCACGAGAAAAAAAACAGTCATCTAGTCCTCATTGGTGATGTTTGTCAATATGAACTGGCAGAGCCCAAATAAAAGGGTGTCAGACAATTACGCATATCACAGATGGTCAATGGGGGAAATAATTTCAGCTTACCTGATGAATCAGCTGATTCACTTGGGTCCCCAAAGCGGAAAGTGAGAGGAGCCGAACACGAGAGAGATGTACTTTGACGGAACCTGTCATAGAAATTGAATTAGGGAAGAAAATAGGTGTAACGTGCGGATCTAGGTCAGCCGAAAAGCCCATCTTAGAATTTCACAATTTTGAAATAGAGACAGACAGGCAAATCAGTTGCCTTAAAAGCGTAAGATTTTCGATTTGAAAGCTAAGAGTTCTCTAAGAAGTGAATACATCTTGTTGGTTCGCTAAACAGGGAAGCCGAATATCGGCCAGAATGGTCAAAATGATCAACTCGTAGGATTACGAAGGCCCGTTGTGTGGGTTCAAATCTTGTCGAGTTCAGTGGATATGCACCTCATTTTTTAAACTACTGCATGTATCTCCAGCAGTGCAGCTGAGAGTTCGAAATGAGTTTTCAGAGACTGTGGCATTTCGGGGTTTTGGAGATTCGGGTGTGATAAGTTGATATCACAGTGATACTGATTACTGATTAGTAATAGGAATATAAATTTTTGAAGATTTTTATCCCCATTGGATAGTCAGGTAGTGCGCTTTGGGACATATTGTGTAGAGTATTATATTGTGTCACTTGCAAGCACTGATGCTTTCATTTCAGTCAAATGAGAACCACATCTACCGAACGGCACAGGGATGATATTCTCCCCTGGGAGGCGGTCACATAGACAATAGAATCATTTCGTATCCCAAGACGGGGAAAAATTTCTTTTATTAACGTCTCCTATAGTTTGTCAGCAAACATGCATGACAGAACACAAAATAATTTTGGTAAACGTTTATACCAGCTGGCATTTGTCGGAAATCGGAGCATGTGGATGGATGGATGGATGAACGGGAACAATAACCTGTCAGTTCTGCTTGCAATGAGTGTCTGTGAGAATCTTTTTCGCAAACTTGACACAAGAAGTTGTGAAATAATCTCACCACTAATTCCTTTACAAAGATTGAAGAAATGCGGTCAACAATTATTATACCACTAGGTAAGAATTTGAACCCTTATTTAAGTAACCCAAGAAAATAAATGGAGAACAATGAAGTAATTTGAGGAAAACGAACTGATATTCTGATATACTTACTGGGCATCGTGAAACTTCCCGATATCATATTTTACCAACATGTTTGTTGATGTGGACAGACTAATGAAGATTGTTATCTATAGTTAGTCCATGATATTTGACAG